GAATGCAATGGAGTGCAATGGAGTGCAATCAAACGCAATGTAATAGCAATAAGAATAGTAACAACCAGTTGCTGACTCTTGGTACTCATTTGGAGCAATAATAATACTAAATAGTAAACAATAATAGTACTTTTCCAGTTTTCTTTGTCAAGGAGCAAAATCAAAGCAAGAAACAGTCTCAAAAACTACAAAGTACTTTTCGAGTTTTCTTTGTCAAGGAGCAAAATCAAAGCAAGAAACACCTGGAAAGAAAACTGGAAAAGTACTTTGTAGTTTTTGAGACCAAGGAGCAAAATCAAAGCAAGAACTCAAAAACTACAAAGTACTTTTCGAGTTTTCTTTGTCAAGGAGCAAAATCAAAGCAAGAAACACCTGGAAAGAAAACTGGAAAAGTACTTTGTAGTTTTTGAGAATAAGCAACATCAACATGTGGCAGGTTGGTTGATGGTGCATTCATGTGCGCCAAAATTACTTTTGTGAGAAATGAATCGAAGAGCTTTTTTTTTTCTTCGATCCACAGCTCCCACTTGCTGCATTGCATACGAATCGTACGGTATCAATAACATTGCATACGAATTGTACGGGATCAATAACATCAGCCATGCCAGAAAGGAGGTAAGCGACTGTCGCTTGCAATTGTTTGCTATCCTTTCTAAAACTTGTTTTTGTTCTCAGTACTGAGACTAATGTTGTACTGGAGAAGCTACGGGCGGTGGCTTCAAACCGCGATTGCTGGCCATTCCTCGAGCAGGCGGTAAACTCAACGGATTCGCGTACATTTGTGGAGGCTGACTTAGAAGGTTGGAGGAGAGAATATGATCCTGATATAGGAGAAACTCTCTTGGAGAGTTTACAAGGAGCCAATCTTAGAAGTGGCCTTACGTCCTTGGTGATTGTTGACAGCTTCAAGGTGCCAACCATCGTTCTTTGTCTTTTCGTTCACGTCTTGGGCAGGAATACAGATGGCAAACTTATTGCATGCCAAGCTGATGTCAATGGGAAACGCTTCGTTCCTTGCAGTGGCGCAGGAAAAAGGCCCGACGACTCGGTGTGTAGTGCAATGGCTGTGCCATATCTTCTGGACGAGCCTCCAGATGAAGAGACTGATGCGGAAGATGTATGTAGAATACTACCAATGCGATATGAAGAGACAATATTGTATGGCAAACAAATGTCATCTGTTGCATCTGGCAATGTAACTTCGAGACAGATTTTGTCGGTATTCGAGATACTGTTTGGTCAGGCTCCAGAGGACGTGGAGGATGAATCACCACCAAAGCTTCTTGGTTTTCTTCTGAAGTGCATTGAAGATTCCTTCCAACTCCTTGAAAGCTCAGGACATGGGTGGATCAAGCTGTTGATGGCCATTGTATGCGGTACCTTGGCGGTGGGTCCACGAGACGGTCTTGAACTGCTCAATGATCTTCAAATTACAAATGTCCCGTCTTTCACCTTGGCACTATTTTCTTCCATGATCCCAATAAAACTGGGATTCTTGTCTGGGGAAGTACCCATAGCTCAAGTTCATTCTTTCCTAGTACAACAAAATGCCGTTTGCGGCAACACAGCTGCCACGAAAATTCTTCAACAAAGCAACTCCAATGCCATTTCTTGCATTGCGATGAAGCGCATAAGCAACACCCGAATCGAAGGCGAGCGGGGACGGAATGTCACAGGCTCCCTTCAAGATTTCTGTTTGGAGATTCTGTTGGAGCAACGAACGAAAGCCAATTGTCTTCAGGAGGAAAATAAAGGATACACCAAAGGTTTCGAAGCTTTCCTTGAGCTTGTTGCTTGCCAAATTGATAAAGGTGCCAAGCACAATCCCCACCTCAGGAACATCTTTGAAGCATACAGAACCAAACAAAGAGAGCAAGGGACCAATACCGATGGCGACGAGTGGAAGGCTCAGATCGTGGGAAAGTACAAGAAAAGGTATCGTAAGGCTAACGGATTTGCTGGAGGGGAGGGGCCAAAGGATATCTCAATCTTGCTCATGATTTTGACCGAGTTTCATGATAAGAAGGGTGCCAAAGCAATGGGAGAATTCCTGTGCACAGATTATGGGGTAAGATGGAGTGTCACATAGTGTCAAAGATCAACTGCTGTCTCACAAAGCGCCATTCACCTTCCAGAAACTCTTCCTCCCATCAGGGTCTGTTGCCAACGCGGACTTGGACCTTACCCAGTTTCGAGGCAAATGGAATACCCTTCACCACATTCGAATCGAGTGTGCTACACAGATCCTGAGAATATATGAGGCCCAAGACGATCGTGGGAAGTTGCGAGATTGGAAACCTCAGTCGCATCGATTCGGGCGAAGATTGGCCCCCAAGGTCCTGAGCATGGTTGCGAAACATGGCACTGACGTCAGAATCCCAATCAAATGGGAGGCGGATTTCCCGGTCTTCTCAAAAGTGCTGAAAGTTTGCAAGCATGGAACTTTGCACGCCATTCTTCTTGGACTGTTGAAAGCCATTGTCCTTTCCAATGTAAACGACAACGATGTTATTGGCCCCGTCAGCTATGGTAATACAATCCTAGAAAGCGGAGATCTGGCGAAAACTGAAGTGGACAAAATGGAACTGGGCAAACTTTTTAAATATGGAGGCCATCACACTAGTCCTTTTAAACTTGTCGCATTCGTCATTTCCGGGGACCATGATGACCTCCTCCAGATGATTGAAGATGCCATTAAGCACGAAAAAAACGACAAAGAAATAAATAGAGACTTGAAACAGCAAAAGAGGGATGA